CACGAGCCGAATATTCCCATCTTAGTTCTTCTATTAGAAATGATTAAAATGGTCTTAATATGGAGAAAGTTTTCTAATACAGAGAAAGTTGCTCAGAAAAAATCGTGAAATATAATCGTTGATAAAATCTCAAAAGAGGTCCAAGTACCTGAAAAGAATGATAATAAAGAGATCTAAGTTATATCTCCTACGGAAAATATAAAACTGAAATGACTTATTTATCGACAATATATATACAGTTAAAATAATACCACGAGATGAGAATCTCAAATTAAAATTTGTTGTTGGATGTAAACATAAATGATTGGTCAAAAATGAAAAGATGCAATTCAAATTGAATTAGCTTCACTTTTAAAAATGTGATATTTTTGAACCTACAGTTCGATTACCTGAAAGTGTAAAATCAATGGGGTACAAATGAGTGTTAATACGAAAAACGAAATAAGTAAAATGAAGTGGTAAGATATAAAGTGTGACTTGTGACATAGATTTTTGTAAAGATTTTTTATTGATTATATGGAGACACATTTTCTTGTTGTGGATGCAATTACTTTCAGATATCTTATAAACCTACCGGTTTAACTTGATATGCATCTAAAGAATAATCACAATTTATTTACACGGCTCATTAAACAACGAGATTTGTATAAATTTTTTTGAAGGATTCAAAATATTTGAAGCAGTTATTGAAACTTGTTCAATGAAGTTTAAGAATCTCTATACGGATTAAAATAATCAGCTTTATTGCTTTAGCGAATATCTATTAAAAAAAATACAAGAATGATCCAATTTTCTCTTGTATCTTTATGGAAGGTTTGACTAAATTTTGTATAATAGTTGTACAGAGGCAAATTTAAAATTTATAAAACATAGGTGCATCACTAAAAAACACACACACACAAATATATATATATATATATATATATTATTAGGTGGGACTTGATCCTTGTCACTCTAGGTAAATAACTCAATATTCAACCAAGTGCACCATTTAGCCTTCTTGTAGCATTGATGCCAACATATAATATTTACTAAGTTTTTAAAATATATATAAATAAAATACCTAATTTTATAAAAAGACCACGGGTTCATGTACCCATAATTTGGCCTATGAATTTGCTGATGAGGTGGCATGTCATGTGATGTCCACCTCACCTAAGTGGCAAGCCATGTGGGATTTTAAATTGTTATGTGTAAATCTGTTAAAATAAGGGATATTTTTGTTAAATTTCATAACGAGCGGTGTATATTTATCCCTATAATATAACTAGGGACAAATTTAACTAATAAACAAAAGTAGAGAGATATTTTTAAGCACTTTTCCCTTTATTATTAGAAATAAATAACACTCAAAAATGATCTCTTGTTTACTTTAACACTTCCATAAAATTGTTACATTATCATTGACTAGACTTATTAATTCCCATTGACTAAACTCTTGCTAATCCTCAAGTCTCTTGGGTATGATGGACTAAACCAGTCTACTAATTGGACGATCACATACACTTACGTGTCTGTTGGAGTCACGAGACTAATCTGGGTATTACTATCAAATATTTAATCTCATCCAAATATATTTGCCAGCGAGATAATTATATTTTCAATATGGTTAGCATCTATTTTCGAGAGACGGTCAATTCCCTCTATTTTTGGTTCCATTCTTAAGTCCCTAAACTTATGGAGTGTTGTTTTTGTAATGAACTAATTCATTAACATATCAAGTCGTCAAAAACTTCATATAGTCTGATTTTTGGGGTCCAATTCCTACGGATCCATTCTACGGGCCGTATGAACTTTTACGGGTCGTAATTTAGACCCGTAAAATGGACTTTTGAGCCTGAAATTGTATAAAGTCTACAAATTGGATCTACGGTCCGTAGAAACTTCTACGGGTTGTAGATTGGACCCGTAGAATGAAGTTTTGAGCCGAAAAATTTAATATAAATTTCACGGATGGGATCTACAGTCCATATAACAAACCAAGAACCGTAGATGGACCCGTAGAAGGTTTTCATCAGTTTTTAAGAGGGGTATTTTAGTCTTTCCCACCCCTTCTAAGCCTAAATCACCTAATTTTTTACACCTAGTTAAGGGTTTAGAAAGTGTTAATCAGTTCTTTCACGTCCATTAACACTTCCAAGTCTTTAGAGCAAGGTTCCAAGAGGAAAAAGTTCGGGTTTCAAGCGTTCTTCGAGCTTCGTTGATTTCTCCAAGAACTTTGTTCTTCCAAGTATGTAAGACTATTCATAGTGTTGGACTAGTTCGTCCTCACGCCCTACATTTCAATTCATTCACTAAAAGTTTAATCTATGGTTATACCCTTAGTTTCGAGAATTCTTGATATAAGTTATATTATTGATCTTGAGTTCTAAATCCTTGATCATGAGTTGTTATATATGTTATTATACATCGAGATCTGAGTTGTTCATGTTTATATTCCACATGAACCATAATTTTTGAGTTGTAATTGAGAGTCTTTTGAACAAACATCTTTTGTCATAAATTGATTTTTGAGGAGTTAAAAGTGACTTCGAGAGTAAACTTTAAAGCATAATTTTTAAGTTAAAGTTAAGGGAACTATATGATTCCCAAATGTTTCATTTTTACATCAAGAAAGAGAGTATTATTTCGAGGAAAGTAAAAGAGTTTCAGAAAGATTGAGTACAGAGCAGTTGCCTCTTTAAGAGGATATTTTAAGCAATTACCTCAAATTGAGAAAGAGTATGCTTTATACATTTGAACATGAGTATATATTTATTGGGAGTAGTATTGAACACTCATATGGGGATGAGTTCAGACAACTCACATTCCTCATAAACCAAGTAGCCAACATGGGTAAAGGATCGTACTTTTTAGATGACTTCTTATTGCTTTCGCGTAGAGCTTTAGTGGATCCACTTAGTTAGGGTGTTCTAAACCCCGTCAAGGTATATGACAGTTCTGACAACGTAGGCGAGGCGTTGTATCATCACGTAGCTCATACTGATGGTTGTCGGTTAGAGAATCTCTCAAATAAGAGTTAAAGAGTAATTTAATGTATTTTTATATACATCCTTGAGTTGGCATCTTTTAATTTTGAAGCTTTAAATATTTCATATTTTAATATTATTTTGTATTGAGTTAAATTGAGTTGAGTATTCTTCCAGCCTTATCAGATCAGTTATTTATTCATTCAGCTTTATTGCATTCTCGTACATTCAATGTATTAATGTCATTCGACCTGCATCTTTTTATAATGCAGATACATGTGTTCAAGATCATCAACAAATGCTTCATTGAGATCACTTTTGAACTTCAAATAGCTTGGGTGAGCCTCCATGCATTCCGAAGGACTTCACATTTATTTTCTAGTTAGTTGTCTTGAGATGTCGTGGGTCTTGTCCCGACATCCATCTTGAATAATAGAAGCTTTATAGATAGATAGAGTTGATCTCTTAGTATTTACTTTCCCTTGTTATGTTTTGCAAACTATTATTATTGCTTTGAGTATTTTCCAAATATTATATGAGCACTTTGAGTATACATGATTGAAATCTGTTTTAAACCACATATTGCTTGAGTAAGTCTTCCACTAAGTAGTCATCCAGTCCAAGGGTTTGCTTAAGGACCAACAATAGTTTTCGAGTGCTGGCCACGTTCAGGATGTAAGCTCAAGATGCGACAGTTTTCAATCTCACTAAACACTTTTGGGGACTAAAGTTGGAGGGGCAAACCTCCTGGCCTATATAATGTGCGGAAGTCAAATGTCGGCGACCACCTTTGCAAGTCGTACTTGTGGGATTTCCATAACAATTCCCCTCTTACAATGTGGTCTGTTGTTGTGTTTCGAAACTCAAAGAGGAAGCGATTGCGCCCCAAAATCATAGAAGTTGATTCCATGCTTGTGCTTTCAGTGCTTGCTTACCCAGCCACCATCAAATCTCTGATAGAAAGGCATTTGGAATTTCCTTCGGGAGGCGTTCAACCACGCTTTTTGCTAGTATTCATTTTGATTTCTTATTGTCGAATTTGAAATAACAAGCGAGTTGCCCTTTTTGTTGAATCATTGCAACATTTATTTTTCTTGTAGACCATTTATTGTTCTTGACAGTGTCTGAATATAAGAGACCCTCCTCTATTTTCCTGTGTAATATATTAACTGTGCGCCTTCTGGGCTTGCATTTATGAAATTCATTTTGGTAGATATGTCTATCCATCCAGAGGTTAATGACCACTCAAGGATGATGATGACAGCTCTTCTCTTACCCTGCATACTTAAAATGCTAGCTAATGTATCGACCATAATTGTAAAAATTCCTTGAGCAAAAGTACTCTGTGAACCTGTCCTGAAACTTCTATCTTCGAACTGAGTTCCCCTAGCCTTTCGATGCTTCCTTAAGAGCAAATGCTCTTGCTAATACTCATCATGTTACGACCTTGCTGTACTATTTTTCTGCCCTAGAAACTACTCTGGTAATGTAGTAAGATTTGAAGCCAACAAAATAAATGGTATCGTTCCCCATAATTGTAACAGGAAAAGAAAGGTTGGAAAAAAAGTGGGTATTGAGGGTGACTCTCACACTGGAAGGTTGCTGAAAAAGGATTCTAGGGGCCTCCATAAGTTTAACTCGGGTAATGTGCCTTGGAGCATAAAGTTTCCAAAAAAACGTGGGTACATGTTACTTTTCACGCTGTGTGTACTTCTAGCGAAGCATACTATTTTTGGGCTTTGACTGCATGATATGATTTGAGAATAATAAGGACATTGATTCCACAATTACTACAACTTACTTACACCCAACTGTGTATGGTCTTCGTGCTACGCAGCCAACTTTTTTGAATGTTTTCTGCGGGAGTTCTGGCTTCCCGAGATGAGAATCTGCTCATTGGCCAATTTAAATTCGTCAATTCAGAAAGCCAAAGCAAACATCAACTTTATAAAGTAAAAAGAAGTGCGTCTTTGCAATCAAAGCTAACTTCCGAATAAAATGAACAAGAACTACTTCAACTAAAAACTTCAGGGCTAATTTCCTATATAAAAACTGGTTGAACGCCAATCACAGAAATATAGACCAATGAACAAATTATGGGATATGGTACTGAACAAATCGTTTTCTTTCGGACATCATACATAAATGGCATATAGGTAGAACATGGAAACCTTTAGAGAAAACCATCTGAATAATTGCATCGCACCCAATGATGACTAATCACGACAGTTGTGAGTGTAGACTTTATATGTACTACAAGAGATGACATACCCAATGATGACATTATACAAAATCAAACAGAGGCTTCTTTGCAGTGGGATTCATGCTTCGCTTCTGAATTTCAATGTCAAACAGAGCTCTTTGCCTGTTCCTTGCACTATCAATGTAATCTTGGAGAGGGGGAAGCGACCCACCACTACCTTCATGTTTAGGAGCTTGACCACGAATGATCTGTAACATCCAGACACAGAGAAAGTAAAAAGAGGGGAGGGTGTCAATATCCTGTCAAGAGAAGCAGAACAAATCTATTCCAAATATATAAGTCACACCTTTGATGCCCAATGTCGTTCCGCTTGCTGACAGACATCCCTCATGTCCCGCCCAGACAATCTGTAGTTAGAAACCCAAGAGTGGTCAGCAGAACTCTCACATGTTAACTAGTATTCTCTGTCCCCATTTATGTAACAACATTTGACTAGGCACATAGGTTTTTTGTTAAAAAAAAGAGACTTCTAAAACTCGTGGTCTAAAACAAGCCATAGACATCTATGTGGGTATAAATCATCTCATTTAGGGTAAAATAGAAAGTTTAAAATTAAATTGTTTCTAAATAAGGAAGTATGACATTCTTTTGTGCACAGACAAAAAGTGGAAGTATGACACATAAATTGGACAGCGGACGTACTATCTATTACATTGATACCAAGTGAGAAAATAGAAGTAGCAAATAAGAGGGAAAATATTAACTAATAATAAAAATTAAAACTGGAAAACCACAACAGCTCCCAATATCACATCCCCCAACTCATCTGCTGAAGTTGAAAATACCAAAAATTAAGCACTTTAATTTATTTTAAGAGTGAAGCAGCTTGAAAATAAAATGCTAACCCTTCCGTGGCTCTTGCAAATTCAGATAATTCAGAGTCTGTCAAATGCTTTGCATACTGTGCGGCTATTTCCTGACGAGTCTGTTGATCAGGTAGGGGGAATGTAATCATGGAATCAAATCGGCTGGAATCAACAGGAAAATGATGAATCAGGGAGAGCCAAAGTTTCAGAAGGTATCATTTGGACATCTAAAACCTCATTTACCTAATTAAAGCAGGATCAAGGTCTTGCTTTCTATTAGTAGCAGCCACTACCACTACTTTCTTCTCCTGCTCAAATCCATCAATCTGCACCAAGTAAATTTTTAATAAGCCACCATATGAATACTGCTAATGTCATCACTTATCATATATATACAAATGGTAGAAGTAGATACACTTTCTAAATGAAGGTAAAACCAAAATAAGCATCATTTTTTCAAGCCAAATTCTCCAAGATAACCTCTGAGAAGTTATTGCTTGCTTCCTGCATCTGGAAGCTTAAATCCAGCGTTTTATCTTTCCCAACGAGTCTTTAACAATACAGGGAGAATTAGAGTCAAATATAAACCATAATAAAGCTAGGAGATGTGCTTGTTTCCACAGAGCGACTCGAGTAACAACCCCTGATGTATTATACAATACTGTACTGACAAATTTCTTGAGGAAATTACAGAATACTAAAAAATTCCCGAGGGGTACTAGACTATGTCCGAACATTGTTTCAAATATCATTTACATATATTAATGCTAATGATTAAACATATATAGGATTTCCAACAGTACCTGTCGTAATAGCACTGATAAAAGTCTGCGTGTTGCTTCATGTGTTTCGCCATCACGAGCAGTAGCAAAAGAATCAACCTGCCATATGTGTGGTTCAAAAAAGTGATACAAGGATAGCTTCCAAGGGTGTGGCCTAGTGGTTAATAAAATGGGTTGAGAACCATGAGGTCTCAGGAGCAAAGACAAAACACTAGGTGATTTCTTCCCATCTGTCCTAAGCATTGGTGGACAAAATTACCCGATACTTGTTGCTAGTGGGAGGTGGCAGGTATCCCGTGGAATAAGTCGAGGTGCGCGAGAGTTGGCCCGGACACCATGGTCATCAAAAAGAAAGTGATACAAGGATAGTGGATTTGTTGAAAGACAATTTTGACAGCTATAGAGAACTGAAAAAGAAGAATTATGTCACTGCAGTCTTCAAGGATTACCTCATCGAGGAAAACTATAGCACCATCTGGGAAATCATTGGCAAGTGAGAACACCTTCCCTAACAAACGTTCACTTTCACCATAATACTTTGACATAATAATTTCCAATGGCACATATAACAATGGGACACCCTGCAATAGCGGTAGAGAAGCTCATCAACCAATCAAAATATTGCAAAGCACCTCGAAACTACTGTTGCTGCACAGGGCAAGGTGGAAAATAATACTTGGGATAGACTACAGTCAAAACACCAATGAACCCTGCCGAAACACCACACTGTCTGTATGATTACAAGTTTTCCTGCTTTTTGGGATGGGTGTGTGAATATCTTAATTGAAGCACATTAAAGAAGACACCAGACCAGGTAAGGGACATTCACACAACCAAAGTTTCATTTCGATTGGCATTTTCATTCCACAAACTGGATCCATGCTTATTCTATATATTGTTTTTTTTTTTTTTGATGACAAGGGAAACCCGTAGCCGCTACCCTTTGGGTGCGCACAGGGGAAAACCCCCGCTCCTATGCAATAGCTCGCAAACCACATAGGAGGGGTAACCCGCACTAGGCAAACCCGGCGCGACGAGCTCGACCCAGAAGGCAAATCCCTTGCTTTCGCTGGTAGGGGTTTCGAACTTGAGACCTCCAACATGGAAGTCCCAAGCCCAAACCACTGGGCCACCCCGAAGGGTTTCTGTATACTATTTTTTGATGACCTATCCATGCTTATTCTGATACTTATTTACACTATCAGTATCATGTACTTGGTTCACTTCGTAAGATAGGTTTATTGTAGCAGACAAATGATTTCAGATTAGGACATAAATCAGTAATTTCTTGTGAATTAAGGGTTCTTAGTTATAACATCTTTAGAAAGAAAAAATGATTGAAGACCAATATGCATAATATATAATTATAGAGTCATTGTGCTCTTTATGACTAGCCTGCATATACAGGATGACCAAAAACAATAGCACAAACCAACAAAATGGTGGGATGAATCATGAAAGCTACAAAAGAGAGAACTGGCATACCGCTTGATTAGCTATAACACGTGCACAAGATGTCTTTCCAGTTCCTGAAAGAAGTACATAGATCAACAAGCATTATTAACTCCTCCGCAGAGGTGGATAATACAGGAACAAAACCACCCTCCGAATCTCCTAAATGAATTAAAATGTTCAGTTCTTTATTTTGCATAAGGGTCCAGGCAAATCTGAAATAATAGTCAAGAGACAGGACATGAGGCCATGCAACAATTTTAGTCCCCAAGGTTGCACATATTATGCAACTCCTCTAGCTACGAGTACTAGACAGTATTAACAACTTTAGTCCTCCCTCAAGAAAAGCGTTAATTTGAAATAAACATATAATATGCAAACTGAATCTGTTTTTTGCTTGAAATTAGTAAAATCTAGATAGTTTACTCCAAACCTTACTCCTGTTTTCCCCTACCCTTCACCGTACCCACACCAATTCCATACCACCCACTTTCATCACCTCTTGCATTTGCATATTTTTTATTTACTTGTATCTAATTTTTATTTTCTATTCACTTATCAATTAAATCTATCATTTTCCAACACATAATCGAGTAGTAAAGACCAAAATTACAGAAGAAATAAACACTATACAGAATTTTTTAACAAAATCAAGCCTAATCCCACCAAAAAGCAAGACAACGTTCCACTACCAACTAACATTCTACCCTAATCCGCAACCTCCATACCCCCTATCTAAGGTCATGTTTTCGGTAAGCTGAAGTTGTGTAATGTTCTGTCAAATCATCTACCCGATACTTCTTTGGCCTACCTCTACCTCTCTTCGTACCCACAATATCCCACCTCACTGGGACATCTGTATATCTCCTCTTCACATGTCCAACTATCTCAACCTTGTTTCCCTCATCTTGTCCACCACAGAGGTCAACCCCACCTTGTCTTGAATATCCTAATTTCATATATTATCTCTCCTACTATGCTCACACATCCATCTCAGCATCCTCATTTCCACAACTTGCATCTTCTGAACATGAGAGTTCTTGACTGGCCAGCACTTCGTCACTTACAACAAAGACGATCTAACCATCACTTTGTAGAACTTACCTTTTAAATTATGATGGTACTTTTTTATCACAAAAGTCTCTAGAGGCAAGCCTCCATTTCATCCACCCAGCACCAATACGATAAGTGACATCATCGTCAATCTCTCTATTTTCTTGAATTAAAAACCTAAGATACTAAAAATTCTCTCTTCGGGATAACCAGTGTATCAAGTCTACTTCCACGCATGTCTCATGTATTGCATCACTGAACTTGCACTCCAAATATTATGTTTCGGTCCTTTTCAACCTGAACTGATTAAACTCCAAAGCCTGACAGGCTCCTCCAACTTAGCATTAACTTTGTCGTGAGTCTCATCAATTAGCACTATGTCATCTGCAAATAACATACACATGACACCTCCCCTTGAATATGCCACGTCAACTCATCTATCACCAAGGCAAATAGAACAGGCAAAGCGTTGATCCCTAATGCAACCCCATCTAAATCGAGAAGTGCTCTAAGTCTCCTCCTACTGTTCTTACCCGACTTTTGGCACCATCATACACGTCCTTCATCTCCCTAATATAAGCCACCAGTACACCTTTAGCCTTAACCCATCTCTAAAAGACTTCACTCGAGTCTTTGTTATATGTTTTTTTAGGTCAATGAACACCATATGTAAGTCCCTCTTCCTTTCCCTATATTTCACCACCAGTCTCCTCCCAAGATGAATGACTTCTCTAGTTGATCGCCCCGACATGAATCTGAGTTGGTTCCGAGAAATGGACACCCCCCCTTATGTCTCTCTCCTAAACTTTCAAAGTGTGATTGCAACTTGATACCCTGTAATTATTGTAATTTTGGGTATCACATTTGTTCTTGTACAACGGAATCATTGTACTCCACCTTCATTCTTTAAGCATTTTTGTCGTCTTACAAATGACATTAAACAACCTAATCAGCCAAGTCACTCCATACTTTTCCTGTCTATGCTCTTCCAAAACTCCATCGGAATCTCATTTGGGTCCAGTCACTCCTCCCCTGCTCATCTTATGAATAGCACCCTTAACCTCCTCAATCTTAATACACCTACGGTAGCTAAAATCCCAATGTCTTCACGGAGTGCTCCAAATCACCTAACACAATGTCTTTGTCCCCTTTTTCGTTCAGGAGTTTATGGAAGTATGCACCATATTCAACTAATCAATGTCTCTTTCGGTAGCACTTTGCCTTCCTCGTCTTTGATGCACGTCACTAGATCCAACCTCTAGGACTCGAGCCTTTCTCTCTCTCTATCGCCTTAACGAGCATGTACAACTTCTTATCTTTCCCTTTGACCCGTAGTTCAACAAACTAACATCCGAAAGTTTGCCATTTTTGTCGTCGTAACCGCTAACTTCACCTCCTTCATCACCTTATAAATTTCCTTATTCGTCCACTTTTCCTCCCTGCCCTTGCTCTCCACCAACTTAGTATAACCACTTTTCTTTGCTTCAATTTAAAATAACAAAAAATGCACACTAGAAAAGAAAGTTTAGAAGGCTCAATAGATCTCTCTATCTTTCCATCTCCCCGCATGCATCAATAGGCTACATAGTTAAATTTCAAGAATTTAATGATGAGGATAAAAACAGCCAAACTCATATATGGCATTCCAAGTCATTGAACTAAAAAAAAATAAATTAAACAACACTAGTACGCAAAGATATGGTTAGCATGATCAGAAACATCAAGATAAATATAAAGAACAGGTAAAATTTGAGCATCATAATTACAACAGGTTGATTACATTGTTAGAAATATAGGAAAAGAATATTATTGAATTGTTGTTGTTTACATTATTACATTGAGACCCTATTTATAGACCCTAGAATACAATCCTTTACCAAGTAGGATACTATTTAGTATTTTTTTTTGACAAAGATACTATTTAGTATTCCTATTTCTATTTCTATTACTATTCCTTTTCTAATAGAATTGTATATACCTATTTCTATTCTAATAGGATTGTATAAACCTATTCCTATTCTAATGGAATTGTATAAACCTATTCCTATTATAATGGGATTGTATAAACCTATTCCTATTCTAATGGGATTGTATAAACCTATTCCTATTCTAACACTCCCCCTCAAGCTAGTGCATACAATTCATGTACCAAGCTTGTTACAAATGTAATTAACACGAGGACCGATGAGGGGCTTGGTGAGATATTTTCAAGTTGATCACTCGACTTCACAAAATTGACAATCAATCTCAATGTGTTTGGTCTTCTCATGAAATACTGAATTTGATGCATAATGCCGATAAAATACAGAGTGATAAAATTACAGTGTTGGAACTTCCCAAACCAAGTTTGCAAAGACTGTTTCAGACCATAGCGTGACTTACATAATCAACATACAAGGCTACTAAACTCCCCTTGAGCAACAAAATTAGGTGGTTGCTCCATATATACTTCTTCACAATGCAACGGTCGTTGCAAGTGCTCAAAATCTAGTATAAAGTATATGGATCATGTTGGAATCAATAGACGAGTCGATATTAGACGAGTCGATATTAGACGAGTCGATATTAAACAAGTCACGGAAAACTGGCCGAAACATGCTCATATGTCGGAGTATTAGATTTGATGGCTAAAAGTGGTCACAATCTAAGAAATAAAATTATATGAGTAGGGTCGGAATGATGTCATGACCCAACTAGAAAATAGAAATTATATAGGATAGTTCGAATTGATGGAACGACCCCATTGAAAAAGAGAAATAATATGGGTAGGGTCGGAATGATGGCACGACCCAGCTGAAAAAGTAAAATTAATACGGGTAGGGTTGGAATGATGGCACAACCCTACGCAAATCAGATTTGAGGAGTCACCGGAAAGACGAATGGAACTATGCAAATCAAATCTGAGGAGTCACTGAAAAGACACATGATGCTATGCAACTCAGATATGAGAAAATAGTTCGAAAAAATCCACGGTACTACACAAATTAAATATGAAAAGTAGTCCGAAAAGATGCACGGTGCTACACAAATAAGATATGCAAAAAAAGGTAGTCACCAGAAGGATGGCATGGTGCTACACAAATTAAATATGAAAAAGTAGTCACTGGCACGGTGCAACACAAATTAAATATGAAAAAGTAGTCACCGGAATGATGACACGGTGCTACACAAATTAGATATAAGAAAGTAGTCACCGGATTGATGGCACGATGCTACACAAATTAGATATGAGAAAATAGTCATCGGAAAGATACACGGTGACTGCTAACATAATCGTTGGCTAGACGGGCAGCATATATGAGTGTCACCCGTCGGCAGCGGAAGCTCTTTGATTTTCTACCAAGATCGTAGAGGCTCTGATACCATGTGAGAAATATAGGAAAAAAATATTATTGAATTGTTGTTGTTTACATTATTACATTGAGACCCTATTTATAGACATAGAATACAATCCTTTTTTTTTTTAGAAAGGTAACATTACTTCTATATATCCACAGGTATACTACATCAAAGTGTAGTCCCCCTCCAAAAAGTTTTACTTACATCATTCCTAGGATCTTCTAGTTACAACCAGTCAATAATATTAAACACATTTTCAGTATCTCCTATCACTACTTGCTTACACCAAAAATAATAAAGCCCTAGGCAATTAGTCTTTATCTTCTGGATATTGTTCTGTTTTCCTTCAAAGCATCTTTGATTCCTTTCCTTCCAAATTGTCCACCAAATGCAAGCTGGGACAATCCTCCATCTCTTCTCATTTTTTCCTGCATTTCCATCCCTGTTCCAACATTGTAGGACTTCTATAATACTCCTAGGCTTTGTCCACTTAATCTTCCTCTTTTGGATAAACATCTGCCACAATTGATCAGTCCATTTGCAGTGTAAAAAGAGATGGTTGACTGTCTCCACCTGCTCTTCACATAGATAGCAACTAGAGCGTAGATTGGGTTTCCTCTTGTTTAAGTTCTCATGTGTCAAGACTGCCTGCTTTGCCAAGAGCCATGTGAAATAATTCACCTTG